TGCATATATGTACAAAACAGCCAAACAATCGGAGTTCTCATTTCGGTGGCATTTTCTCGTAACCGTGACTGGAAAAGAACGAATGAGTTGCATAACAGCGAGCACGTCTGTTTCAACCTTAAATTACATCGCTTGTCTTATTATCACAGATGTTGTTATCATTAAAAAGGACTACATTTCATATATCTTAAAGCTCAGAAACGTTATAACTCCAATTATATTCACTGTACAGATATTACAAGTCCATATATGTGTAGTATATTCCGTACATATAAAGGTAAACAACCCAATAGGCACCTAAACAACACAATTTAAACCTAAAAATTTAAAACCTAAACAACCCCTAAACAACCCAATTAAAACCTAAACAACCCAATCTAAACCTAAACAACCCAAATTAAACCTAAACAATCTAAATTAAACCTAAACAACCCAATTTAAACCTAAACAACCTAATAGGAACCTAAACAACCCAATAGAAACCTAAACAACCCAATCTAAACCTAAACAACCCAATTTAAACCAAAAACAACCCAATTTAAACCTAAACAACCCAATTTAAACCTAAACAACCCAATTTAAACCCAAACAACCAATTTAAACCTAAACAACCCAATTTAAACCTAAACAACCCACTTTAAACCTAAACAACCTAATAGGAACCTAAACAACCCAATTAAAACCTAAACAACCCTATAGAAACCTAAACAACCCAATCTAAAATTTAAACCTAAACAACCCAATTGAAACAAACAACCCAATTTAGACCTAAGCAACCCAATAGGAACCTAAACAACCCAATTTAGAGCTAAACAAACCAAATTAAACTAAACAACCAATTTAAACCTAAACAACCCAATTTAAACCTAAACAACCCAATTTAAACCCAAACAACCCAAATTAAACCTAAACAACCTAAATTAAACCTAAACAACCCAATTTAAACCTAAACAACCTAATAGGAACCTAAACAACCCAATTAAGACCTAAACAACACAATTAAAAAAAAAAAAACAACCCAATTTAACTAAACAACCCAATTTAAACCTAAACAACCCAATTTAAACCCAAACAACCCAAATTAAACCTAAACAATCTAAATTAAACCTAAACAACCCAATTTAAACCTAAACAACCTAATAGGAACCTAAACAACCCAATTAAAACCTAAACAACCCTATAGAAACCTAAACAACCCAATCTAAACCTAAACAACCCACTTTAAACCTAAACAACCCAATTGAAAAAAAACAACCCAATTTAGACCTAAGCAACCCAATAGGAACCTAAACAACCCAATTTAGAGCTAAACAAACCAAATTAAATAAACCCAATTTAAACCTAAACAACCCAATTTAAAACCTAAACAAACCCAATTTAGAAAACTAAACCTAAACCCCAATTTAAACCTAAACAAACTAAACAACCCAATTAAACCTAAACAACCCAAAACCTAAACAACCAATTAATAAACAACCCAATAAACCTAAACAACCCAATTTAAAGGAACCTAAACAACCCAATAGAACCTAAACAACCCAATTTAAACCTAAACCTAAACAACCCAACCTAATTAACTTAAACAATAATTACATTTTAATTTAATTTTAATTTTAAATAATTACATTTTACCCAATAGGAACCTAAACAACCCAAAAAACAACCCAATTTCAACCTAAACAACCAAAACAAAACCTAAACAACACACGTACCGTATTTTTGCGAGCCATTTCTCCCAACCTGACTTGCTCGGACCTTGGCGAGTGACTCCGACGAGAATTTATGATATCAAGACGACATTCTTCGGTGCGAGATTTAGCAAGATCAGGAAGGGTATTTATGAGGTTGGGTGAGTGTTGCTCTGTGGGTTAAAACAGATGATGGTGATGCTTATTTCACCACCGTTTCAACACCCGCGTTTGATAAAGGTTTGGTTGTGTATCAAGTATTCTGGTGTGTTTTATGTGTTCGCTTCAAGAATCACACACACGAGCGCGGACAGAGAGAGAGAGAGAGAGAGAGAGAGAGAGAGAGAGAGAGAGAGAGAGAGAGAGAGAGAGAGAGAGAGAGAGGAGAGAGAGAGAGAGAGAGAGAGAGAGAGAGTGAGAGAGAGGGAGGAGAGAGAGAGAGAGAGAGAGAGAGAGAGAGAGAGAGAGAGAGAGAGAGAGAGAGACAGAGAGAGAGAGAGAGAGAGAGACAGAGAGAGATAGGCAGACAGAGACAAAGATAAGAGAGAAAACAAAGAAAAACAGAAACAGACAGAGAAAACACACACACACACACACACACACACACACACACACAGTAAAGTAAAACAGTAAAACAGTGACGTAACCCAACACCGTCTGTGGACCAGATCACATGTCTTCACGCAGTACAAGTGGCGCCTCTAGGTCTGCTCGTCATAAATTGCTCTCTCATTGATTTTTTTATTTCTTTATTTCACTTTTCTTTTCTATTCGTTTCTTTTTTCTACCTCTTTTTCTTTCGTGCAGAGGAG